CCCGCGCGGCGCAGTCGCCCACGGACGCGGACCGGCGGAAGACGCCCGTCGTGACAGTGCCCCTCGCGCCGCGCCCTCCTTCCGTTCCACCTCATCCAGACAGCGAAGCGGCGCGGCGGCGGAAATATCCCTTAAATTCCACTGGAGCCACCAATACGTGGTATTGGGTTTGGGGTGAGTTGTCGTTGTCATTTAAAATGAAGTAATTATAGGAATTGTCAATGCCAGCAATATTTGTTTTTATTTCAATGACATATTTCGATGGATTAGCTATCATCACTACTTTGTAGTTGTTTATGGCTTCCATTCAGCAGAGAACTGATGATCATGGCTAAGCCACCGAAAACTGCTATTGAAATAAAAAAAATATTGTTGGGAATGACAACTCCTATAATTATTTCAGGTACACATAAGTTGGGTAAAAAGTAACGAGAATATTGCTATAACAAAGACAGTGATTGACGCGCTGCCGTCTGGCTCGCTGCCGTCTGGCCGTCTTGCTCGCTGGCAATGGGAGATTCTAAAACATGCATTTTACTCATTCGATATGAGTCAATGATCTTTTCAGCAAAATGAAAGAACAACGACGAAGAACCCCTTACAATACCAGAAAAGAATTTATTCATGCTACAAAGCGCTCAAAATGCGACATCAACAGAATTAGACGCGCAAATGGTGTACGACGTCTTTCAAACATTTGGAAAAAGGTTATTAAAACTCACACAATTATATTGAAGGTTTGTAAATGTAAATACCATTGTCAATGAAGTCATTTCCGAGAAAAAATATTATAATTACTTTTTCTGCAATCATTGTATTTTTATACCTTTTCGAAAAACGTGTTAAATTAACACCGATAAAAAACTTCATACTCCGTCTGTCCCAGTAGTTCATACAGATATCATACTTGTATATTTAAGTATACTCTAACACTTTGTGTTCGTATTTAAGTATACACTAAGAGTTCGACAAAAAATTGCACATGCACAAATTATATAATTATATTAAAAATTGAGTTTGTGGCTCAACATTAACAAATATTACTGCTATTTTTTATGAGTGACCGGTTAATATGGCGTGATAGGGGACCAAGTTGACACTGTGTACCCAAGGAAAAGATTGATCCGTAAAACATACAATAAATATTTGGATAGAAGATATTTTTCTTCCATTCTAAATCTGTTCTATGAGAGGAAGGCGCAAGCCTCCACGATGAATCAACGCGCTGCCAGCTACGACTCGAAAAAAACTATCTCATGACAGCGCCTCAAGCCGAAGGGTAGACAGTTGGCGATGACTTCGCTGGTTCAATTTTGCGTCAGGAAAAGATGCGCGCTGGACGGGAAAACCCTCTTTATGGGGGTAAAGCAAATCGCTTCAGTCACTGTTTAAGACGTATCTATTCTCGCTCCTGCGCATATTTTAAGAAGGTCGTGTGTGCGCTGAAGTGTGAGTGCGTAGTTGCGTGTTTTTGCTTTTGTGTGATTCACGCGCAATCCGTGGGGAGGGGCGTTAGGAGAGTGGCGAAATTTGACTTGAATGGTGTACGGCAGCAGAAGTCCGCCTCGAGTGACTTTGCTAACAGCACGTCGTCGTCTGCAGCACCTGACCCTACCCATTGAACCCTAGGTGACTGGTAAACCGTGGCTTGGTCAGAGAAGACCCGATCTCAGCCATAAGCTGGTGGTGGCCCCACAATGGTGTTTTTGCATGAAATGGACCGGGTCCTCTTGTCTAACTGAACCGATCATTGTCTGAAAATGGTTCAGCTTCTTGGAGACCATTTTCAGTCATTCATGTACTTCGTGTTCCCAAACGATGGAAGTTTTATAATTGACAATTTTTCCGGGCCATAATTGTTATAAATATTATGAACAATTTGAGTGAATGATTTGCCTACTCTGTTCGTCCGTCATAAATTCCATTCACCATTTATAGAAGTTTTTCGAGATGTTAGTTTGTGCCCGAAAACCTGCATCGGCAACACTTTTGCAATTATGTACGGCTGTAGAGATGGCATGGCTCCATATTTATGCAGGGGACTTCCAAGGTCTTGTTGAGTCCATGTGTGCACGTCAAGATGCTGTACTTAGCCGGGAAAAAGGAGGCTCTACGCTATATTAAGATTTATCCCATCACTTTTGTTGCATCAGTACTTTGTTTGCGGTATCGGCCACATGTTCAAAACTTCATATTACTATCTTATTGTAACAAAAACAAACTACTATGAATAACCAATACTTCTTCTGGGGGTATGCCGGTAAAATCCTTAACAGACACATCGTTAAGAAGAGCTCTGCTTTCATCTGATTGAATTAAGTCGATAAAACAGAATTATTACGAAACATTATTTTCATAATATAACTGGCAGGTATGAAACAATTATGTGTTCTAAAATATTTCGTCAGTTTTAAAATATTTGCTTTAAAGTATGCTTATTTAATATTTGCAGAACTGCATGCATTGATTCATTAATTATATTTCTAAAATCTTTTGTTTTCTGGACGTTCGCAATAATTATGTAATTTGTTGAGAGTTATATTTTAATTTGGCGCTACATTTGGTATTATTATTTGTAAGTCAAACATTTTCAAGGAACTATCAGTAGAGTTAAGTGTTGAAAGTTTTGATTTCCTGTCTTTGTTCCTCTCCAACTAAGTCATACGCTGCTCCCATTGATAGAAAATCTGAAGATCGTCCGTGAGAAACCCATATACGAAGAAAACATTTATTTAGGTGTTTTGTTGTCTGTGCGCCCCAGTTCTGCTTTCAGCATTGGATTCCCGTTCAGTCAATGAAAATATATTTTTTCAAATATCTCTAACTATTTCTTACTTCTAGTTGAACTTTTCATGAGTTTTAATGATGATATTTTTGTAAAAATATTATTAAGTTATAACGTTCAAACTAAAAACACATTTACAATTAAAAAATGTCGGTAGTCAAAATAGTAGTCGTATGGCTTCCATACAGCAGGAAACTGATAATGATGGATAAGCCATCGAAATGTGGTATTGAAATATACAATATTTATGGCAGTGACAACTCATATAACTATTTCTTTGTATCATTATTTAAAGACTCCTTACAACCATAAATAAATTTAATCTGGTTCAGGGTCTCTTAGTCTGTGGAAATAATCAGACTACGTAGTTGCTTGTCAACGTTTCAGAAAATATATTTACATCACAGAGCTATAATGTACAAGAACAAAAAAGCAACAATAACGTGTTTATTAACATCTTAAGCGTACTGTATTTCATATAATTACGTAAAAAGAGAATAAAAAATAATAAAATATAAGTAGGTAGTTCCTCACATCACGTATGGTATACTACCAGTAAGAATATGTAGCACTATTTCTTTGTTGTTTTCTGTTTTGTGGTTCGAAGGTATTGTATTTATATTTTATTATTTCTTTCAAAGTTTAAAGGAATTTATATGAGACAGAGTAGGCTAAATTGGTAGGTAGGCTTATGGCGTAAGTAATATTAACACATTGTTGCTGTTTTGATCTTGTACATTATAGCCCTGATGATGTAAACATATTTTCAGAAACGTTAGCAAACAACTATATAGTATAATTATTTTCACTGACCATGTCCCATGAACCAGCCTTCATTATTTCAATATTATTTAAATCTCTGTTGTTTGCTAGAGAACATCTGGCAAACATGTTATCATACGAGTCAACCATTCGTTGTGATATTTTGAGCGTGCTTTGCACTTAACACACTTTACAGTCTGCGCATGAAATCCTTTTTGTCGATTTGAAGGAGAAATGAGAGCGGAGTCGAGGGAAGTTGGTGAAGTAGTGGGAAGTAGAGTCGTGGGTAGAAGGTGCTTGTAGGCGCGCAGGGCTTCCTAGAGGAGCATGTCGCCTGTTCCAATCGCAGATTGACGAGTCTAGTTTGTAAGAAAAAACAAATATCGTGATTGCAGTATGAATGTTTGTGATAATCACACAACAAGGAGGTATAGAATGCAGTTTCAGGAGTCCGAGATTCTTTTGGAAACGAATTTAATAGTAACAAATATTAAAGCTATGAATCAGATGTCAATCGACTATTAAATTCAACAACTGAAATAAATCACACTAATTGAACGTATTTATGTTAATGATGTCATGATTTCATGAAGAATACCTTCTTTTTTTATCAACATTCAATTTATTTTAAATGCATATGATGTGTTTGAGCATGTACATTGTTGCGTACTCTAATGAGTAAAAATATCCAAAGTAGCAATAATTTAAAATGTTAGCCATCACTCGTATTTTGTTTCAGGATGTTTTGCAGTTTATGCTGAAGTCATTGGAACCAAATTCATTATACTTCCTGCAAGTCCAAGCAATTGCTCAGTACGGCCGAGAAAGATTGAAAAGCGGAAAAGGAGCCATATTCCTCAACACAGGTGCTCATCCAATCAACGGATCAATAAGTTAACGTCCTGATACTTCTACTACATCGACGACTCTCGACTAAGAAACGCGGGAATGGAAGCCAAGATTCAGCTGCAACAATAACTAATATAACTGGAAAATACTTTTTGAACATGATCACTGAAGGAAATGGATACTGTAATATGCCACTCACAATGCTTTATCGTCATTTTTGTCTAAATTAAATGTTAGAAGAAATGCTTATTTTCATTGTCATAACGCAGGTTTACAAAAGTCAAATTGCATTATTTATGTCGAAGAATTTTACAACCATTTTTATGCAGTGTACTTGTAGATTAGTTCTTTTGCCTTTATAATTTTGCACTTTAAGCGATACTCTTGTAAAATTTCACAGAACTGTATTTTCTCAAGGTAAAGATCAGAATGCACAATAAATTATGGTAATTTTTGTATTTTTAAAACTGTGTATTTAAAAATAATATTTTTCAGTCCCATCACTTCCCGGCCCATCAACAGTTTTTAAATTTTCAAACCGTCAAAACACTTAATTATACAGTTTAGTTAAAGTAGCGTTGACTGACCGAGTGAAGTGGCTCAGTGTGTAGACTGACTCCGCTTATTTCGCAGTCGGAAGGTCTGTGTTCAATCCCCGTTGCGGTCATCCTGATCGGGGATTTTGTGGTTTCATTTGGTCATAAGGCGATTGCTGGGATGGTTACAAAATGCCCAGAACACCTCCAACCACATCACCTGCAACTTCCCACCGTCATCCCACCGTCCTTTCCCCCTCATCATCACTTCGTTGAGAATTCCCTGCAAAAAGGCAGGAGTCACTTGCCCTTAATGGGATCTGATTGCGTGTAACGTGCGCAAAGGAGAAAATACCATAGAAATAATATATGACGATTATTTTATTAAAATATTTTATTTGAATTTTCTTTGTACACCCTACTTAAATGTATCACGAATGCACTAGAGAAACAAACGATCAATTAAGGTTTGCTTACAAATGCAAAACACATTAAATGAGAGGTTTGTAGAAAATATCATTTTAAAATGTTACTCATGGTAAATAATTCTTCATTTTACAGTTGATTCACGTGCGCATTTACGTTGTGCAGTATTCACTCAGCCAGAGCTCTGTGTTGAAGCGGCATGCCCCTTCCATATAGGCAACTTTCGACGTACTGTGTGTTGAGGGTTGCATGGTGTTAGTTTTATTAGGAGAATCGTTCTGTTCATCGGAGTCAAGCGAAGGAATATGAAGGCATTGTAAGTATAATTTAGTTTGTCTTGATTAGAATAAACCTTTAGATAAGAATACGCATAGGCTATGCAGATCTTGATTAACCTCTTCATTAGCTTTCTATAGTCAGGTAAATAAAATTCCGTAGAAGATGAACGGAATGTTTTATGTCCTTAATTACCTTCTTAATGAAACGGTTTTCAGATTCTGCCATGATGTTTTTAAATATATTAAATCACTCATTTTATCGCTCTTTCACGAGAGAAATTGATTTAATATTGTTGAAAGCATTTTTTAAAAATTTAACAAAGAGCTCTATAAATTCTCGGCTATCCAGGAGACGCCGCGTCGTTGGCTGGGAGGCCGACGTTTCGCCTGACATGTCGTAGGCTTCCTCGGGGCAGTAACAACACTGCAACAGAGTTTGGTTACGGCCTCCCAGCCAACGACGCGGCGCCTCCCGGATAGCCGAAAATTTATGAATTCGAGTCGCGGAAGCTTACGCGTGCATTTAACAAAGAACTCACTAATATAACGTATTCTGTAATGATGCAAATCGTAAGAATGTAACGAGTATCTAAATTCTTTCAAATCAGGTTATCGGTGGTAGTAACTTTCTTTTCTAAGAAATATGATACATAAAAGACCAAATAAAGTTTTTCGACACACCAGCCACTAACACCAACTCCAACTTACAACTGTTTTCTTAATGGTGATATTATTTCATCTTATTTAAGAAAATACCGTACACAAAATAATCGTAGAATACAAAGCTGTCGTACTTTTACGTAATCTGAATTATATTGACATTCCAATACATGTGACCTGTTCGAAGATATCCAAAAATATACGACTCTGAAACAAAAAATTGAGTGCGGGGCCGCTACACAAGTCAAAATACACAAAGACACACTTCAAAAACACAATAATTGTAATCTAATATAAACTTTAGGGCAAAAACTTGTCGGTACGGTGTCTTAATTTTAATAAAACCTCAAAAGCAGTTGTATAAGAATACAAGGAAACAAAGTGAATGTTTTGTTGTCACAAGTGTATACTAATTTTGAATGCTGAATTCAAAGATTGAATATTGCTCAAAATGAAAAAACTTGTCCACCAAATCCTGTTGCTTTAGAAGTAAAACTTCAAAGTTCAGGAATATGGTAAGAACAGGGTACAGGAAGGGTGTAGAGTGTTAACTCGGTTCTTTTCACTACACTTCCTTGATAGTTCAGTTAATGAAGTAGGGATTCCAGAATTACGAAAATGTGCACAGAATGAACTTTCCCCATAACACGCCACAGAGTTTTGAACTGTTTTTGTCGTTAACTAAAAAAAGTAAATAATGTGCTTGGCAATGACCATTGTTAATGTAATTTGAAAAATATATTTGAGGAAGTACTATCGTTTACCATACAACACAATCTAAAGAAATTCGACCTTTTAAGTTACGAATTCGTTTAATGCTGATGTATTGCAGTGATTGTAAAGTTTATATGTTATAGTTTTAATGACATCCACAATGTACATCAGTTATTTCATAATTTATTAGCACCATTTAAAACAAAATGTTAAGTATAGTGAGGCATGGTGCATATTGTTTTTTTAATGGGTATGTTATTTTAAACAATATTATAAATATCATGTTTTTTAAACGCACGGGAATGCGAGAAAAAATGAGTTAAATTTTAAATAACATTGCACTTCACATATTGTCCATCTTCATCCTTAACCATAAATCACCATTCAGATTTATGTGTAAGTGATAGCGCTTTTACTTACTCATTTATGATTTGTGTGTCGATAATGTATTGTAATTTAAACAGGTAAGTGTTCAATGTGAGGTAAGTGGTTAATGCAATGGACAAGTTAACAGAAAATTTTAAGAGGAAATAAAATATTTTCATCTTCACTTGAAGAATATGCATATTTTCATCTTAAAAGAATACGTGTTCTTAGTATATTTACCCTTATAATATAAATTTAACAGAACAATATCGAAATACGAAGTCGAATCATCGCTGACAAAAAGATAAATATTACTTTATTTTATTGTAGATTAAATAAGCCTGTTTTGCCTTGTGCGCCCAACAAGTGTCCCCATAATTAGGCCGCGTCTGTTTGCAAGTCTGGTTGCACGTCCCTCTCACCATCAAAATTAATATACTCCGTTTTGATCTGATTCAACTTGAGGCCCTGCGAATTTGAAAGATTTTGAAAACTTTAAAAGGTACCTTATATGAAAATTATACCACGTTTTTGGGTGTATTGTAACACTATTAATGACTTTTGACATAAACATTATATCAGTTGTTGGACACTATTTAATTCAAAACTCCTTTTTAACGAGGAGAAAAAGACAAAGCGAAGTTAATTTTTATGGCGCCCATAACAAATTGTTTCAATTATAGCTGTAATATGATTTTTAAATATGTATATTAAACTAATTACTGAATTAGTTTTATGTTCAGTAATGGAAAAGGAAGAAAAATTATAGAACTTTAAAAATCAGCATGACTTTCTCAACTATATAGGCATATCAAATGTCCTTGAAGCAGAGCAAGGAGGTACCCACCAATGGTAGTTTGATGATTTTTTTGTAGGGTTCAATTTTGCTCAGAACACTGCAAATCATTGACATAGTTTATATTATACTCTTTGATAAAGTATGATGTAATTTTTAATAAGTGTTAGTTTTAATTAGAAGTATTACAGCATTATTCACTTTGGATTAAAAACATAGGACTTTTACTCCAATTCAGATTTCATATTGAAAATTGTAGTATTTTAAGAATTAGCATATTATATATTTATTTATCAATATTTTAAAGGTCTATTGGCCTATTTAACACAATGTAATATGATTTGTCATTAAATATAAATTAATTTTAATTCAAGAAATTCTATATTTTTTAATTCACAAAGGCAGAAATTGAATAATGTTTTTGTTTAAATTGATGACATGAATATAATAATTATATCAATATGTTAGTGTAACTAAATCGTCAAATATAAATAAAATAAACATATAAGCGGTGATCTTTGGAGACCTCGCTCCCTCTTGGAGAAGTTTTTTAAACCTTGGTATTGGTGGGGTTAATTGAGTCAAAATGTGCACATATTAGATTATATTTTAGAGTTTTAAACATTGCCAAAATGACAAATTTTAATATTATATTGATGCTCACAAGCTATTATGGACCTCAAACAATTGTTATATTTATCTTAAAAAGGTAAACAAAGTGATAATCATATGGCGATAGACATTTGAGATTAGTGTAATTCGAATATATGCTTGCTTAGCTATGGGTACTTAGGACACGGGCAGACATGAGTGAAAGAGTCAGAAAAGGATTGACGAACACAGTTCTGAAACACAATGTTCAATCTCTTCAGAGCACCTAGATCGTTAGTCAATTAATATTAAAACTAGATTTTTTGGCGTTTTATTACCGCAACTGAACAACTAATTAATACATTATTTTTACTACTTCCATTCCAATATTAGTCCATATTTTACTCCACATTTAAACATTTTTCGTTCCACAGTAAATGTTTAGAAAAAATGTATCCTAAACAAATTGCAGCCCCGATCATCACACTACTTATTTTCACATCTTGTTAGCAGTTATCTTCAGAAGTGTTTGTCATCTGTTTGATGGTGCACTAAAGGTAAGTACTCGGGTAAGTATACAAAAAATAAAAATACGAAGGAAGACGACAAGAGATAAACCAAAAACACAAATCCAGAAAAGATAAAGACAAAAGACGAGGAACTGAAGGGTAATACAAAGAAAACAGAATAGAAACAAAACAGAAAACGTAGATGAAAAACACATAACGGAGCATATCAACAAAGGTTTAAAGTCGGTCTTTGTGTTTCGTCTTCATGATTCTTCTTCGTCTTTCGTCTTCGTCTTTCGTCTTCATCATTCATCTTTGTCTTTTGTCTTTGTTTTTCGTCATATTTTTCGACGTTGCTTCTCGTCTTCGTCTTTCGTCTTAGTCTTTCGTTTTCAACTTCGGCTTCGTCTTTTATTTTCGACTTTGGTTTTCATTCTTGGTCTCCGTCGTACGTCTTCGTGTTTTGCCTTGTTCAACCGTATTCGTCATTCTTCTGTAATTTTGTCTTCGCCTTTCGTCCTCGTCTTCACAATCCGTTTTCGTCTTTTGTTTTCATGTTCGTTTTTTCGTGTTCTTCTCTACGAGTGTTTT